CTCCAAGAGGAACAGAACATCCCGACACTTTGCACAAAATAATCCAGCACTTTGAAGGCAAATTGAACAGCAGCCATTTCCAGGCGCAATCCACCCATAAGGTAAACCTCTCTTGGCAAAATAAAGCTCTGTAGAAGAGCGCGAAGGACGTTCGGCGAACAAGACGTACAAAACCTCGTGGCGTCCGTGGAAAATGTCGTGGCGTGACAGAAATGTTGCGCATGCGCAATTGCCCATCTTGTCGAGTCGAAATTGTCGGAAATTCGAAACTTTAGACTTATGTATTTCCGTGATTTTTTTATTTTTTGCACGTTAACTTTGAACGGCTCTGTGCGTGTTTGAAAAAAATTCGAAAAAGTTCTGTCAGAGGGAAAAAATTTAACGATGAATTCTAAAAAAGGCCTCTCTTCCTTAAAATTCTAACAGAATTTTTTTAAACTTAACAGTCAAGTAGACCAAGAAAGTCAAAGGACGCATGCAAAATCTAAAATAAATTCACCGTCCAGTTTTTCAGAAAATTCAAGTCAAGTCTAATTTTGGACACAGCATTGCAACCCAGCAACGTTGCCATTGCAATGAATTTTTCAATATATTTATAACAAACTGATTCTTCAATAATATTTTTGTTTCAGGGGAAAATATGACCGCGATTCGTTAAAGCTAAGCTTCATAATTTTATTTTAAATGTCTTACATAAGAAAAGTGAAAAACTATTCCAGCCTCCCTAAAGCAAAGGAATCCTTTATTGAATTCTCAAGGGTAACGAAAGACTTTTTCCTCAATTATTAGATGTTTTCGTGAAGATGTATATCTCTTTTTATTGATGTCGGCAAAGCAACAGTTTTTCTTGGTGCTTTTTACCTTTTAGACCATTTGTATTTTTTATTAAGTATTTTAACAGGACCCCCATTGATACCAGTGCTTAATATACTGAAGGGGTTATCCTGCATAAATATTAGGGACCTTAAGAAACCACGACGGCGACGCCAAGGAAGACTTTGATTAAAAAATGAATTTCTACTCTTAGTTAGAATTTCAAAAATGGCTGCAGGAGCTTACTGTCTCATACAGCGCAATATCTCAACTTCAGCATGACGTATAAAGTAGCCGTTGAGTTCGAAATGGTAATTAAAATAATTTGCCGTCGCGGTTTCGCTTCGCAGACGACGCAAATTTTGATGATTTCACGTTGTTGTTTTGCAAAGGACGGCTAAGAAATGTAGAAAGTTTCAAACGCACGTGCTGCGCTATTGTTCTGCCCATTAGATCTCTTGTTTTTCCACGTTCTCGTTGCCGTCGCCGTCGTGGTTTCTTAAGGTCCCTATTATTATTATAGGACGCAGTTGATGGAACTTCAGCATGCCAGAGAAAGAAAGTTTGATAGGGCGCACAGCGTAACCTACGAAACTACACATCTTTGCACTTATAAAAAAAGATAAAAACCCATTTGCTAGCATGGAAAATTACAATATAAGATACAACTAATACTAATATACCATCGCTAATTTACAATCTATTATTAAGGTGGCTGAACACAGTTTTTGATACTTTTGTTTCTTTCACCATTTTCTCTAAAACTCTTCATCTCTCGGTCGCCAAAATTGGCAGCAAGCAAGTTAACCATTGCAGCAAGCAAGTTGCCATGGCGACATGAATAGATATAAATAGGCAATTAAAATCGGTTTTGTTTCTTTGTAAAAAATCTAGTCATTAGATTTTCTTAATAATTTGTATGCAGCGAGCACCTAACGATACTCACAAGTTAACACCATTTTGCTAACAATTTTACAGAGAGATCTTTGATTATCCCTTGTTGAAGGTTCAATCGAATTTCTAGAGTTTCCTTTGTTTAAAATCAATTTTTTTAATACTCCAGTTACTTATTGCCTAAAGTATTTTTGTGCCAAATTTTGTGAAATTCTAATGAGTGGTTCTCGAGAAATAGGCATATTTCCGAGAAAGCAATTTTCCATTCAATCGCAATTTTTGACTTATTGCGCATGCGCTGCATTTAACTTCTTCCTTTCGGTAACGACGAAAAAGCTGAGAATTGCTGGGTTCGTTGCACCTTTAAGTTTCCTAAGATATCTTTGTAATAAAAAATTAAAGCCCGTTATACACTGCGCCAACTATAGAGAAAAGTAGCACAGATAAGTATAAGTAAATGAAGTATTAAGTAAATGAAATGACCTCTCTGTTGACAGCATGTTTGTTTTTTGCAATCCTTGTGCGCGCGCTGAATTGCATTAGCGAAAGCGCGCGGGAGAACTGTGTTCAGCCACCTTAATATACAGCTGCCTCCTTTATCTCCTCCTTAAACATTGCAGAGGTGGTTTTGCCGATTATGCGGCGCAAGACCTCTCCCACTCCAATTAGTCTAACTCCTTGGTTTTTGTCTACAAGCAGTGTAGCCTTCAAGTAGGGAGGGGTTGTAATTGAAGTTTAGCAGGTTTCTCGTCAGAGTAGCGATCTTCTCTTTGTGTTTTTCCCTCCTCCGCAAAGTTCTTTGAACAGAGAATTCGACGGTAAAGTTCGGCGTCCATTCCGGAAGGGCCAGCAGAACCTTTAGTTTTCAGGGTGGAGTCAAAGATCGACTGCTCACAGATTAGATCAAATATGCCGGGTGGAACGAGGTCTACAGGACCATGCAGAAGAAACTCCTTATGACTTCTATTGCGCCTTTTCTATACAATATTCAAAGGCACATCACAACACTTTTCGAGGGACTTTTGCCGGACTGCTTCAAGCACTTTACAATATCGATCGACGGAAACTTATTTGAAGATGCTCCCTCCCCACAATTCCCAGAAAACAGGCCACAACACATCACAGTAATCTCGTGAGTGGATTCTTTCACGTCTCCTACCTAACCAAATTTGCTAATTAATTGATTCAGGAGACGGGATCTCCGGTTTATTTGCCCTTATCCGAGGAGACTAGACCGTATATCCAGTAGAAAGGTAGAAACATTCTCCTCAGCCATTTTAAGACCTTGAGTGTTGGTCCGGCCGGGACCCGACCCCTCAATCTCCCGCACAAAAGTCCGGTGCTCTTATCAGTTAAGCTAACCGTAAATATAAAAACAAAGGAAGACGTACTTTGGTGTAGCTCCTAACGATAGCAGATAATCCGTTGAGAGCAGATAGGAAGTTGATATCCATAACAGCAATCGAACTAATGGCGATGACAATAAAATATCTAGTCTATGTGCTCAAATGAAACTTACTGAAAAAACAACTTATTAGGTAATAATCATAAAATAGCAAAGGATTAATTGATAAAGATAAACCAGAACAAACCATAAATGAAAAATATACACGAACTAAGCGTTTTGACACTAACACCTGTGACAGATCAACTGTAAAAAGGTGGATTTCATTAGGATGCAAAACCTAATGCTAACGTTTCCAGAGTTTCCCTTCGTATATCTGGCCAAGTAAGAGAGATAAGCGAGACACTGATGACCACATAATCCACTTAGCATGCTGTATGTTAGATGTTCATCTAACCGCCTCCCGGTTAGCTCAATTGGTAGAGTGCTGGACTGTTGTGCCGGAGGCCGTGAGTTCAAATCCGGTCGGACCAACATTCAGGGTCTTTAAATCACTGAGAAGAAAGTGCTGCCTTTGTAATAATATCTGCAAATGGTTAGACTTTCTAGTCTTCTCGGATAGGGACGATAAATGGAGGTCCCGTCTCACAAGCCCTTGTATGTGCTAAAAAAAAATGTGGGACGTTAAAGAACCCACGCACTGTTCGAAAAGAGTAGGGCACGTAGTGCCCGGTGTTGTGGTCTATCTTTGTGTAGTGTCTATCAAATTGATGGGGGATATTGCGCCTTTGAATATTGTATAGAAAAGGCGCAATATAAATAAGGAACTCATTCATTCATGTTCATGAGACGATATGATCAGCCAGTATTGATTGTATGATGAATATATGAAGTTCATATATTTTGAACTGCGGTTATAGATACGTATGATGCACGATCCTCGCAGTAGAGAGATATATGAACTTCATATATTCATCATATCTGATTTATCATCACAGGTTTATTACGAATTAACTTAACAACCTGCTCCCAGTTGGCTTGTTAGCTCAATTGGTAGAGCGCTGCACTAGCATCGCAGAGGTCAGTGGTTCGAATCCCGTACAGGCCTGATTTTTTTTCAGGTCTGATTTTCGCTATTGCATAAATAGCGCTCTCCACTGCGAGGATCGTGCATCATAAGTATTGATTGTCTTGCCCGAGCACTAGCTCTGTTGTTCAGTGAATAAAGTTTCGAAGTTAACCAAGAAAGCCAATGAAAACTTAAGCTCATCAACTAAATGTCTACTGATGAAGTTCACAGATTTTGCTTTGTTCAGAAACTTAAAGTCAACAGTGATATTTTCTTTTTATATTTCGCCAATGCGAGGGATAAAAACTGAAAAACTAGATTTCCATTTTCTTCTGAACTGGAATTCTAGAATGAAGACTAAACAACACGTTGACCCCAACCTGCTCCATAAACCTCAATCCTAAATGGATCAGCTTACCTTATAGTCTAAATAATAGGTCTGAAAAGACGAAGTCTGCATACATTATAATATGAAGTACACCGGTCAATAAAAACAGGACAGGAATGTTAATGTAAACATTTTCAGGTGTCTCAGTGAGTGACGGCTGAATTAACCAAATCATCATTCGTCGGCTATTTTCCTTAACTATAGCGCTTTGAGTCAAATATATTATTGTAAATGCTAATAGCTGTATGGCATCAGTCATTTTTTCGTTGCAAATTTTCACAGTGGAAGAACGTTGACCATGCTTCGTCACAATTCCACTTGAGGTAAATGTACATGCTAGACCAAGTACAATACATAACATGTCAATCAAAGCGTTTAATGGTTGTAAAGTTTTCTAATAAAAAGATGCTGATTTTTTACCGTTTATGCTCTCCCATTAATTGTCTACCTCCGACGACTGAACAGGTCCAATACGCTGTCACTTGTTATAATTAATTAGTCGCTCCTCTTGGGATTGAATTTTCACAGAGGAAGAAAGTTGACCATGCTTCGTCAAATTCAACTTGGGGCAAACATTCCCTGACGAGTCTTCTCCCTTCTTTTGATAAACTTTTGTCTTGAATAAAAGAAATAAAAAAATCGCCATCAGCAACCTCGAATGCATGCTGTAGTTGATGCATAACGTGAGCTTCGTACAGGGTTGGGTCACTCGTATAAATCGTGACACTCCAAACAGGGCATCCTACCCTTGGTGACAGCACACCAAAACTGACAGATCTGGGAATGGCATCTCCGCCACATTTATCGACAGCGAAATAGAATTCATGACCAATTTCATGTTGGAAATGATCGATGTTTGATCTTAAAGGCTCCATGGGAATCCAATCAAGTATAATGGAGTTGTATGGAAACAATCTCCGTGCAAAAGGACTTGTGAAGATTACGTCACAGAGGTACTCTTTCATACAAGGCTCTACCTGGTCTGAGAAATTAACTTTGAGAGAATCGAGCGCAAAAAGACTCTTATTTACAGCTGAAGTCCTTATACTTCTCATCTCTGTAATTTCTCTTGCGGGAAAATGACACATAGTTGATGTAAACATCTCTCGCTGTACAGCTGGGTAATGTCTTCGCACGAACTCGTTCATTGCTTCTGATAGCCGTTTGTAAACACCCTGACCACGAAACTCTGGTGATATCCTGGCGGCTCGTCGTACCGCTGTTCTTCCATCGTCAACAACCGAACACTGAACCAGACCAATGAGCTTTCCACTTGTGTGAGCTAACATCACTGCAACGTTGATCATTTGCATCCATTTATGAAATCTGAGGGGAAGATAGTCTTGACCATCATAGACCCCCTCTGATAGTTTTAGGATCTCGTCAAAGTCGCTGGTTTGAGCTAGGCGGAATGTCAGCTCACTATTCATAGCTCTATTTCAGAACTGCTTGACAGCTATAATTGCCTGGGGTTAGTCACTCTTCCGAATGATCGCACTACTTCACTTGAAAGGGCGATGTCATTGCTACAACAATCAAAGTGCTCTTCAGGCTAAGGGAATTTTGTGGTTGATTGTCATATTTAGAGCACGAGCAGTAGTCCAGATCTCGCGTTGACTCTGTTGGCTCAAGAGATATGATAAGTTATTTCTCTAGTCAATAACTAGTCCACGTAATGACCTGCCAGTCCACACGAAGGGGGTATTCTGTCGGTAACCACTCAAATCTTGAATCAACCAATACTACCGCAATTGTTAGGGTCTACGAACAAGAAGTCATGTTCAAAAGCATTTAACAAGAAAAAATTTCGATAAAACATTTCTTAAAATCATTTTAAGATTAAGAAATTGCCAAAAGACGACGACGTTTCGACGTTAGCTGAACGTCATCATCAAGTCAAAATATGTTTGTGAGTTCCAGTCTGTAAATACTTAAAAAAACAATAGTTAATTAAAAGCTGTAAAGTGAGAAAAACTGAGACGAGTAAATGATCAAGTGGCCACTAATGCGGTTCGGAAGCAGTTACACGATCTTAGCTATAAGATTGTCCTTACTTTGCAGCCAGTTTTCGTGAGCAAGAAATTGGGGCAAGATCTTAAACCCAAAGAAATTAAGCCGTCAATTGTTAATAGGCAGTGTGTTGTTTATCTTTATTCATGTGATCTGTGTGATGCAGATTATGTCGGATACACAGCCCGACACCTTCATCAACGCATTGCTGTGCACAAAAAATTCGGCAATCGGTTAACATTTCTTAGAAACTCATGCTAACAACAACCTCTTCAAAGAAAACCAATTCACAGTTTAAGAAAGTGCCAGGGCAAATTTGATTGTTTAGTATTTGAAATGCTCTTCATCAAGAATCATAAGCCTAATTTAAATATCCAGACGAACTCCCTACGTGCGAAACAATTTTGTTTAATATTTTTCACGTTATAGCTTTTAATTAGCTATTGTTTTTTAAGTATTTATAGACTGGAACTCACAAACATATTTTGACTTGATAATGACGTTTAGCTAACGTCGAAACATCGTCGTCTTTTAGCAATTTTTTAATCTTAAAATGATTTTAAGAAATGTTTTATCGCAATTTTTTATTAAATTGTTAATGTATACTGATTTACAGTAAGTCAATAAATCAGCCGTTTTAAACTCAACAATATTTCGCACTAAGAACGTGTTGTTCATGAATTTGTTACGCGAACACCGACAAAAGTGACAGAAAAACTATAAGCGAGCTGAAACAATGCAGAAATAAACTAAAACAGAAGTGGAAAAAATGCTAAACGTGCATATGTTTATAATTGTCGTGACTATTTCATTACCAAAAAATTATAGAGCACTTTCATAAATGGCTGCCAGATTAATATTCTTTTGTTTAAATTTAAATTAGCCCTTCTGGCCTCGCTTGAGATAATGTATTCTTTTGAATTTTGTACTGGAGAACGAGGCCAGTAGGACTAATTCAAATTTCAACAAAAGAATATTAATCCAGAAGCCATTTATGAAAGTGGTCTATTTCCCACAAACAATACGTTTTACAGGATTTATGCAAGCAACGACAAAAGTAGACAAAAGCAACTATTTTCAGTACAGTATGAGAAACTCACTTTCCCCAAGGCGTTTGAGATCGCCACCAGCATTGAACTTGCCACCTCAGGTGCCAAAAATAGCCAATAGCAAGCCTCTTCACCGGTTTCCGCAGGGGTCAGCAAGGTAGAGATGAAAGAGTTTCCCAAAACAAAGAAAACCTGTTATCGTTGTGGAGAAAAACATAACTAAGAACACTTCCCCTTCAAAGATAAGAGTTGTTTCTATTGTGGCAAAGAAGGCCACATTGTAAAGGTATGCAAAGCAAAACAAAGATCACAGCAAACCTCACATTCATCAAAGACAGTTAACCAAGTGACAGCAGATGAAAAAGAATCAATCAGATCAAATCTACAATCTATTCACTATTAGTGGTAATAACTCGTTTTACAAGACCATGTTGTGTATTGACGGTCACAACATAGAAATGGAAATTGACATTGGCTCAGCAGTAACGCTGATTTCCAACAACACGTTTAGTAAGTTTTCCAGTGCAAAGAAACTGGAGAAAAGCAAGGCACAACTACGTACTTACACGGGAGAAGACTGATGTGAAAGTTTTAGGTGCCACAGCTGTACAGATGAAACACCGCGATAAGTCATTCAACTTACCACTGCTTGTTGAAGACGGACAAAGACCCAGTCTCTTTAGACGAGATTGGCTTGAACAGATGTAAACGAGCCTCAGTCCAAGAATTCGAACACAAATATTCAGATCTTTGGAAACCAGACCTAGTACAAGTCACAGGACTTAAAGCAAAGATCAATGTTCCCGAGAGCGTGACACCCAAGTTCTTCAAACCACGTCTAGTTTCATATGCCATCAGATACCAAGTTAACGAAGAGTTGCAGATGTTGGAAAAAGAAGGAGTGATCGAACCAGTGCAGTTTGCAGAGTGGGCAGCTGCAGCTGTATCCGTTCAAAAAACGAATGGCCAAATCTGTTTATGTCGTGATTACAGACTCACTATTAACTGTGGCATTCACACTGTCCAGTGCCCTTTTCCCAGGAGAGAGGATCTCTATGCGAAACTATCAGGTGGTCAAAAGTTCACAAAACTCGACCTCAGCAGTGCTTTCTTACAGGTTCCACTTGAAGACGATTCACGATATTACACTACAACCAACACCCAAAGAGGTCCTTACCAGTACACAAGGCTTCCCTTTGGAATCTCTTCATCACTTTCAGTTTTCCAACGCATCTTTGACAACATGATCCAGGGATTAGCAGGCACTGTTGGTTATCAAGACGACATACTGGTGACTGGCAAGGATGACACAGAACACATGGCCAACCTGAATGCAGTACTTCAGAGGTTATTGTCATGTATGCTATCACGAAAATACCATAAGCATTATGGGATGCAATTAACCACGAGGTTGAATTCAATATGGCTGTCTTATCATACAGTACTTAACAGTTATCAACTACTGGACTTCGTCTAAACAAGGACAAGTGTGTCTTCATGGCCACTGAGGCAACTTACCTTAGATACAGGATCGATGAAAAAGGGTTACATCCAATTTAATTTGTGCCATTGTAGAGGCCCCTGCTCCCACAAACGTTTCTGAGCTTAGGAGTTACTTGGGACTCCTTTACTACTATGGAAGGTTCTTGCCTAACCTATCTTCAGTACTAGCACCAATGTATGAGCTCTTTCAAAAGAACGTGAACTTTTAGTAGGGAAAAATGCAGCAAGATGCATTTGAAAAGTTAAAACAACTCCTCAAAAACTCAGGCCTTCTTCTTCCCTTTGATGCAACAAAGGAGATCATCCTCTCGTATGATGCCAGTGGAAAGGGGATTGGAGCAGTGATAGTATACCTCATCGACGAGGTAGAAAGGCCAATTAGCTGTACCTCTCGTTCGCTAACCACTGCCGTAAAGGGATATTCTCAGCTTGAAAAGGAGTTGCTTGCAGTCCTTTGGGGAGTCAAAAAGTTCCATAACTACTTAGCTTGTGCGGTCGACACTTCGTCATAAACAACTATCACAGACCCCTTGAAACACTTTTTGGAGGACGCAAGTCATTGTCTACCATGGTTTCAGGGCGCATTATACGGTGGTCTCTGTCCCTTTCAGCACATGATTACCAATTCAACTACAAACCAGGGACCCAGGTAGCCCATGCTGATGCCCTCAGTCGCCTTCCTTTACCAGTTGCTCCAGCACGGTTCCCATGCCTGCAGGTACTGCACATCTCAAAAAAGAACAGAAGAAAAATCGCCAGTCTCCCTGGATCTCAGCTGAGTTAATTAATATGCTGCACGATCCTCGCAGTAGATAGCGCTATTTAAGCAATAGCGAATATCAGACCTGAAAAAAATCAGGCCTGTACGGGATTCGAACCACTGACCTCTGCGATACTAGTGCAGCGCTCTTACCAATTGAGCTAACAAGCCAACTGGGAGCAGGCCGTTAAGTTGATTCGTAATAAACCCGTGAAAGTGATAAATCAGATACAATGAAATATATGAACTTCATATATTTTCATTGTACTGATTTATACTTTCACGGGTTTATTACGAATCAACTTAACGGCCTGCTCCCAGTTGGCTTGTTAGCTCAATTGGTAAGAGCGCTGCACTAGTATCGCAGAGGTCAGTGGTTCGAATCCCGTACAGGCCTGATTTTTTTCAGGTCTGATTTTCGCTATTGCTTAAATAGCGCTATCTACTGCGAGGATCGTGCAGCATATGTATCTAATACCGCAGTACAAAATATATGAACTTCATATATTTCATTGTATCTGAGTTAATTAAGTTAGTAGGGAAAAAGAAGCGTTTGTACAAGAAAGCCAAGATCAGTAATGATGATAGATCGTGGTCAACTTGCAAAAAGGCAAGTAATCTTTTGAATAAACAATGCAACAAGGCACGCTGGGAGTACCCTGATAAATTGGCTGACGATATGCACCACAATAACGAACACAAACTTTTTTGGAATTACGTGCAGTCCAGGCGCAGGGGATCAAATGATCTAATTGCTATAAAGCTAGACAATGGCAATCTGCTAAAAAACGCAGGTGACATCTCTGAGAGCATGAATTAATGATTTTCTTCTGCTTTTACAGCCGAAAAACTTGAAAACTTTCCATCATTTGACCAAGTTATCAAAGACAAGGATCTTAATCCTCTACACTGTTCACCTAACGATGTTAGTAAGATTTTAAGTGAGTTGAAACCTCGTAAATCTCCTGGTCCGAACAGTATACATCCCATGATCTGAAAAAAATGCACTGGACTCCTAGCTTCCTCGTTAAGTGATGTTTTTAATGTGTCTTTTACATCGGGCATGTTACCACCCAATTGGAAATTGGCTGACATCACTCCTTTGCATAAGAAAGTCGCTAAAACTATCGTCCAGTCTCACTGACATCGGTGGCGTGCAAAGTGTGCGAATTAATAGTAAGACAGCAGTTTGTCCACTTTTAGACTGCAAACGAGGTCTTTATTCCGGAGCAGTTTGGCTTCCTGAAAGAGAAATCTTGTCTTTCTCAATTATTATCTTCGTTTCACGACTTTTCCCGTGAGAGAAATAAAGGCTTGTCAACTGATGTTATATTCTTAGAACTTTCAAAAGCGTTCGACTCAGTGCCACATGAACGCCTCGTGACAAAGATACACGCTCATGGTATCCAAGGCCCACTCCTGTCTTGGTTCAGATGCTTTCTTACCAATCGATATAAGGGCGTTGTTCTGTGGGGACATCACTCATCTTGGACTTTAGTTTCGTCTGGTGTACCTCAAGGAACCCTGCTGGGGCCCATTTCATTTCTCATTTATATTAATGATATTTCCAGAAACATTATGTCAAACAAAAAACTCCTCGCAGCCGATATGAAGGTATACAGGATACTTAGGGATACTAACGAAGATGTTGAAGACTTACAGAAAGGTCTTATTAACCTGGAATCTTGGAGCAATGACTGGCGGCTGAAGTTTAACACAGATAATTAGAGCATTAGCCCTTCGTCGGAGCGAATAGAGGAATTGTGGGTTGTGTGTGCTTTTAAAGGCAAAAATATAGAGCTACGTTATTGGTGGGAACATGGCAACGAGAAAAACACTATGAATTAGTGGAATGAAGAGCGTTCGTTTAACACAGATAAATGCGAAGCGATGCGCATTTCTATAAAGAATGATTTCTCAAGTCCTCAATACTATTTATGTGGTAACCAGTTGAAAGCTGTAACTGAAGTTAAAGATCTCGGAATGTACATTACTTAGAACCTGTCGTGGAGTATGCAAGCTAGCAAATGCGCAAACAGGGCAAACAGTGTACTTAGATTCATAAGGCGAACGGTGGGTCCTAAAAACCCTGAGCTGTTTTCTAAACTTTATAAAAGCCTAGTGCGTGCGATACTCGTGTAACTGACGCAATATAGCTGCGCGCGACCTTTTATTTAGTTGCACGTGCGTATCGCAAGCGCTCACGAAAGCGCCGCGACAGCCCGCAAGCTGTATAAGGGTTGCGTTGTTTTCTTTTGTTGCGTTGACGCTAATCTTTTTGGTAAGATTTTCCTGCCTAATAATCGGCCTTCCTGTTCTGTTGACTCCAACCCTGATTCCCATCAGCAGAATAAAGCTGAGAGGAAGGCGAACCTGCCATGAGGATCCAGACTGATGGACAGAGAAACCCTTACAGAGGGTCTGAAGGAATGCTCATTTTGTCATTGCGGTAAATACTCACTATTTTTCACTGCAATATAGCATATTTTGAGCATCTCAAAAATATGTTTGTTTTTGTTAATTCTGGTGGGTTTGTTTCGTCCAGTCATTTTTCTAAATGTTGACGTATTCGCTTCTACAAGTATGTTCTCACAACATATTCATCCAGGCCTCCAAGTGATTTGTTTATTTCCGAAAAAACCAACAGTAGATGTATCATCTCTTCTACTTTGAAGAGGAACCCATTCAAGATTTTGCAGAAAATAACAAATCCTGCACTGTCTTATAATATTGGTTTTTAAAGTGAAAAGCTTTACGGGCGGGACCCCTTCATACACCCTTGGTTTTATCTGTCCACTATTTCATGAATGATTTCTTGATTCACAAGATATTAAAATTGTGATTATGCTCAATGTCACCCACCATTCATAGTCAGAAGCGAACGATATTCACTCTCTCCTCAAACCAAGGTTAGGTGAGATTTGAACTGGACTTAGAATAACATGGCCATCCCCCCTACAAGCCTTATTCACAACAGCTGCCATATTACAACGAAAATTAGCCATGTAGTCTTCGAAAGAGCAAACAATGCAAATTATTGGAAAATCAGCTGATCCTCATACTCCTATATTTTTCTAAAAAGCACACTAGAGTGTCAGATAATAGACAACTATAATGGAATTGTTACAAGTTGGGCACGCATACTCTGTATCCCATAGATGTGTTCTTGGCACAAAGAGTTATCTTTTAAAACAGATAAAATTATTATTATTTTTTAAGTGTACTATGTAGTGCAATGGCATAACCAAACAGCAGATGTGAAGAAAATTCATCACAATACAAATAACCTGGCTAAAAATTTCTAGATTTGAGGTTGTTTGCGTAGGAGGTAGATAGCCTTCAATCAGCCCTGAAATCTCTCTTTGATGAATATAGCACAGAAATTGTTATAAATAAACTTGCACCTGCAGCAAATTATCAATGTAATGAGTCTCTGAACAGTGTGGTGGGCTCAAAGAACTCTACTAAAACTCGCTTTTACGGGGGAAGTGAAAGCAATGATTAGGGACTGTAAGCAAACCAGGACGGCGACGGCAACGAGAACGTGGAAAAACAATAGATCTAATTGGCCGCACAATAGCTCAGCACGTGTGTTTTAAAACTTGGTACATTTCTTAGCCGTACTTTGCAAAACAACAACGCGAAATCCCAAAAATTGCGTCGTCTGCGAAGCGAAACCGCGGCGGCAAATTATTTTAATTTTAATTTAGAACTCAATGCTACTTTTATGCGTTACGTTGAGTTTGAAGTCTGGCACCTTATGAGACGGTAAACACATGCAGCCATTTTCGAAATTCTAACTAAAAGTAGAAACTCCTTTTTTTAATCGACGTCTTCCGTGCCGTTGCCGTCCTGGCTGCTTAAAGTCCCTAATATCGAGTGTCCTGCAGTGTCTCTCAAGTAAATTTAGGTTACATGTACATTCCTCAAACTCTAGCGTCACTTAACATAGAGCCAGGTTTTTTCTGTGTAAACCATAATACGGAAATGGACAAGAAAAGTTCGAAGGACAAACAAAGGAAATCAACAGTTCCATTCAAGCGACGTCGATCACGATTAAACAAACACCAGATTTCAGAAACCTCGAAAAAC